TTTTGCCTTTTTTAAATCCCTCAAGTGGGAGGCGATTCTCTTTACCGGCCTCTGGCAACGGTAGCAAAAGGAAAGTTTTAACTCCTCTATCTCTTCATAATCTCCCAGATCCCGTCATAATTTCTTTCTTTCCATTTGGGTCTCGTTTCTTTCCTTCCTTATATTTTCTCTTTCCTTTTTTTGGTCGAAACGTGCTCTCAAAGGTTAATTTCTCAATGATTTCCCTTAAATTAGTGGGTGAATTTTGTTCTCCTGCAATTTACAAATTAAACTCAGTTTTATATCATGATTTAACAATTTAAAAATTAATTATGGTTCTGAAAAGTTTACGTTCACGTGTCAGTTTTATTTATCTTCCATTTTTCTCTTGCTATGTTTTTTTTTATATTTTGGTTATTACTCGATATAAATATTTATTTTGAATTTTATTCTCATTTCGTTTGTTTTAGAAAATACTTAAGATTTAAAATAATTAAAGAGATACATACTTAGGTTAAGATCTGCACTTTATGCACAATAAGTATTTTATATTTATTATTTATTTTATATTTTTCTGCTTATTATAAATAATAAAATAATAAATATATATTAAATAACTAAGAAAGCAGTTACTATTATGTAATAAATTGGCGTATACATATAAATTTAACTATTACTCTTGTTTATTCATAATTAGGGTAAATAAATCAAAATAATCAATCTTATATATTGTATATGATATATAATTAAATTTAAATGATATAAACATAGTAATATAACACACTTTTAATATGGATATTAATTAAATGAGGTTTCTACTCATATGATTTTATGATTATTTGCATATTTGTGTAACAAAACTTTACACCAACGAATTTTTTTTAATGTGANTAAATAAATCAAAATAATCAATCTTATATATTGTATATGATATATAATTAAATTTAAATGATATAAACATAGTAATATAACACACTTTTAATATGGATATTAATTAAATGAGGTTTCTACTCATATGATTTTATGATTATTTGCATATTTGTGTAACAAAACTTTACACCAACGAATTTTTTTTAATGTGAGATGTTTAGTAGTTTCAATAATTTATAATCATTTAAAAAAACAATGACATATTTCAAAATTAAAATATTACCTTTTTCAATATATGTTCAAGGTAAATATCAAAATATAAGTATGTATTTTCATACGATGTATAGTTTAATTAAAATGATATTAAATATATATAAACTAAAATTGTTTCTTCATATGGTCTTATAATCATTATATTTTAGTATAGAAAAAAAAATTAAAACCTTGATCTTAAAAGTTTATGTGGGACTTTTAACAGTTTTAGTAATTTATACTCATTTTGAAAAATTTGAAATACAACATACACAAAAAAACATAGATTTTTATTATATGATTAATGTAATTGTGTAATTTATTTTAATAATAAAGAAATAAACAAAATGAAAAAAGTATACAGATTGTTATCAAATCTTTATTGTTTAAAATCATTAATTGTCATATATATATATTGATCACATTAGGTAATTCCGTAGGTTTTATTTAAGGAAAGCATGTAAAACAATAAATATTCGATATATGCGACCAACTATAGCCTACAGAATATTATATTGCTAGATAATATTATTTTTAAACTATACATTATATCACATGCTCTAGAATCCTTGAGATTTGAGAATAGAAGCCAAAGAGCTATGTCACGTAGAATTGAGGTTATTTTTAATTCTTACAAACTTAAGGTTACAACTTTTTAAATGATTCTCAGATAATATATAGGGGATACCTAAACAAACCCCATAATAAGAGCCAAGATTTCCTTTCTCGACTTGTCATTGCCAAATCTGATTCACTCTCTCTATCTCTACAGGGTGAATTGGGTAGATATCCTTAACAAAATGTGAAATTAGGAATTTGTCATATTTTGGTGGGAAAGCAGTGATGTGTGGGGAGGAGAGATAAGGAAGAAATATGATATGAAGTGAATTAAGAGATTTGTGGTGTATAGAGAGCCCAATTTTACTAGAACTTTTGTATCTGTCTCCTTTGTTTGATGTTCTCTCTCTCTCTCTCTCTCTCTCTCTCTCTCTCTCTCTCTCTCTCTCAAACCCACTACATTATTTTTAAGGAGAGCAAAACTTCAAAATGAAGATTCGAGAGTTATTGTTCCAACCATAAATCCTCGAAAAATCTTGAACTTTTTTTATCTATTTGCATTTTAATCCTTAATATTAACAAAAAGTACTAATAATGATAAAACTTCATAATTACATATAAACATACATTTAATATATTATAAAACATATAATATTATAATACTATATAATAAAAGATAATATAAATTATATATATAAGAAAATAATATACTTACATATAAATTTTGGAAAGTTACGTATAAAATATCAAATTTTGATATCACTTGTAAGAAATGTAATTTGTTTTAATTTGTGGTAGGTTTGTTTAATTTTGTTTATTTTAGATTATATATACTGTATATTTCTACTGTGTGAGTTTTATTTTAATGTTATATAATATTTATCTTATTTTATTTTATTTTGGTATATTTAAATTATTCTAAATAAAGTTAATAAATATATTTGTGAAAAAAATAATTGGAAAGAGTAAAAAGAAATGAATAGTAGTTTTGAGGTTTTGAATAATGAAACTTCAAATTTGAGGTTTCACTATTCACAACCACTGACGGAACTACATGGGCAGTACCAGGGGCAGCTGCCCACCATAGATTTGTAAAATTGGTGTAATTTTATAGAGATTTTTAATTGTGTCTCTGTTAAAACTTTCAAATTATCAGAGGTATAGACAGTGTTTGTAATTGTACCCCTAATCAAAACTAATCATTGATCCGCCCCTATTCACAACTTCAAAATTTGAGATTGGTTTGAAATGATAAAAAATCTCAAAATTTGAGAATTTGAGGTTCAGAGATGTTCTATAACAATAAAAGTGCACATTCTTTCTATAATTTAAATTAAATACTGAGATACATAGGAGCTTTTGATCAAAAAGAAAAAAAAAGATGCATAGGAGCCAAAACAAAACAAAAACGAAGAAAACTGACAACATTGGCTTAGTAGGAACCGAACTTGTCTGGTTGTTTTCAAATTATTTTTTGAACGCTGATTAGTTATATTATTATACATCAAGTAATTCTATACGTCTTATGAGAATTACGTTCGATTGAATTACCCTGATCTGCCATACAAGATACTATTTCCGTCATGCACACATCTAATGTAAGTATTTTCTCCAATATTTTACATAATTTATCAAAGCCAAACTATTCTTAGTATTTAGATCTGCATGTTGTAGAGTTTTAAGTTTTAACATCAAAACGAAAAACTTTGGTGCCGTATGGGTTCATGCTCCAAAGATGGGTCAAATCATGGCTGGTGCAATATTCTTATCGGCCGAACTTTATGTTAACTAGGTCACAGTGCTTACTCTATTAGGCTCATTTTTGTATGTTTATAAAGCCTAAAATATTCGTTTCCGCCAAATCTCTATAATATTATTTGAGAAGTCACTTTTTTATGTGTCGTGCTCACGTTAACTTTCATGATGGTTGATTACTATGATACCCTTAATGAATTAAAAAATAAATTTAAAGATTATTATTTCTTTTTCAAAATTTTCTAGATAACAATATAAAATAAAAAGGAAACATTTATAAAGTTTACAAAATTTAAAACGAAAATAGAAGTATATAGAAATATGGTTTCATAAAAAAATGAAAGTTCACAAAATAGTAATATTTAATTTAAATATATTTTAAATAACATAAAATATACTTTTGAAGTAATAAAATACTTCATATCTATATCTTCTTAGATGAAAAACAATATTTATATATAATGTGATTCCATAAAAAAATTTCACACAACTAATCTTGATATTAGAAAAAGAAATATTTTTTTTCTTTAAAAAAATAATTTTAGACAGTAATATATATATATATATATATTCATAGTAATTGTTTTTTTTGGTATATATCTATCTATTTTATTAGATGATTACATAAAATAATTAAGTAACATAAACTGATATATGTTTAATTGATTTTTTTTATAATTTGTATTTTTGACATTTAAATTATATTTTACTTATATAATATAGTTTCTAAAACAATAACATTTTTACTGCATATATTAACAGATATTAAAAATAAAACTAAAAATAAATTTTAATAATAACCATTTTTTGATTAAATAACTACAATTATTTTAAAATATCATAACACTATATAATTTAACGAAGTAGATATAATTGTTTTAATTGTTAAAATTATACGTTTTCTTAATAATTCTTTTGATTTTTAATTTTATGTTTTTGTGTTTGTGGAACTTAATTAACCATAATCAAAATACTTAAGCAAACCAGAATCCTTATTTATAAAATTATTTAAAATAAATTTTAGTTTTTCATCCAATCACTCTAAATATTGTAAATATTGATATGTGTTCATAAGCTTCCAAAAATATATTAGTTACTTATGTATGTAATTTAGAATCAGAAAATTTAGTTTTTATTTTTTTCTTTCTAAGCACAAAAAATCTTAAGTTATACATAATCTTACTAGATATACTTATATTTCTAAGATAACAACCGGCATAAATGCAAATAGGACAATTAATCAAAAAAATACTATATTTAGGTTAAAAAAGATTATAGTTGAATTCAAAGAAATAGATAGAATCTAATATATCCAAATGATAACTAAACCAACCGTAAAAACAATAAAACAGACAAAATATAACATATCTAAAATTATATATATAATTAAATTAATATAATATTATTAATATAAATTATACCTACAAATTATAAATTAATTTAAAATTTAAAATAAATATCAATAAATTATTATAATATATATATTTGTAAGGCCACAACACCTACTTCATATTAGGCCCATTTATAGCCCAAACATAATAAATTCAAGCCGTTACAGAACCAGAAGTTGAATAGACGCCACCGACCGAGACTACTTCCTCCTCATACAATTTCCAATTCTCTCCGTCGTTCCCGAATTCTCCCGCCGCGAACCCTAGTTTCTCCGATCCCAACGATTCTAAAATATCAATCAATCTTATCCATTGAGATTTCTCGATGGGAAAATGGAACAACCGATCCAGATTCAACCGTCGCAGATCTCCTTCCCGATGGTACAGCGAAAGACCTTCTTCTTCCTCCTATGGTAGTCTCCCTCCTTCCCATTTAACCTTTTCACATTCATCTGATCTTAATTAGCTTTAGTTCCGTCTCCTACAATCGTTTGAAGAACTACTGTTCACTAGATTATCTGTGTGTTTTCGAATTTTCTTTGTATAAAGGTTATGGTGAAGAAGATGGGATTCCAGTGTGGGAGAAGAGATTCTGCGAAGTGATTGGATCAGTGCCATGGCCAAAAGTTGTTGAAGCTACTAACTTCAAGAGCTGGTACAATGGTAACGTCATCACTTGGGATGATTCCGCTTGTCAAGAGACTTTCAACAATGAAAAGAAACGGTTTTGGTCTCAAGTTAATGGAGTTCACTGTGATATCTCTTTGCCTGATCCGGATCTTTACGTTAGTGAAGTTGATTGGGACACTAGGGTTGATCCTGAACTGATTAGGGAGTTAGAAGAGGCTTACTTTGCTCCTCCTGATGATGTGAAGTCTGGTTTGAAACGAGGGAGGAGAGATAGGAGTTGGAGTGGTTGTAGTAATCTTGTCCCTATTGAAGAGACTCGGATGTTGAAGGTTCCGTGGGAAGGTAGTGAGGAAGTTCGTGATGTTGATTGTGGTTTGGGGAAGAATGGGAATGGATGGAATGTAGCAGAGTGTAGTAGTGATCATCTGAATGATAGGACGAGGTCGTGGGGAGCTAAGGCTAGTTGTGGAGACGAGGAAGGAAATGAGATAACGTCTGGGGATGGCAGATGGGGCCAGGGAAACGATGGATGGGATACGTCAGGACAACAGAACAAGAAGGCGAGAGGTTCTGAAAGTGTGCCAGCGAAAGAGGATGAAATGCTTGACAATCCTTGGGAAGCTAAGCCTAGTTGTAGAGAGGAGATAACAGAAGATAATACTTGGGGTGGTTGCTCTGGTAAAGTGTGGGATGATGATAAAGGTTGGGGCAGTGATGGATGGGAAAAACGAGATTTGGAGATGAATGAGTGGCGTCGTCGTACAAGATGTAGTCAGGATTATAGAGAGCCAAGGAGTTATAATTCATGGAAAGCTGGAATTGTACCTGACAATACAACTCGGAGAGAGTATGGGGCTAGTGCAGGCGGTTGGCAGACAAGTAGAGTGAGTGAGACGAATAGAAGAGAATGGGATGTGAAACGATCAAGTGATGGTTGGGGAAGGCGAAATAGAGAAAGAGATGAATCTTGTGGATACAACACTAACTACAGAAACTCAAGGCCTATAAGAGATGATTATCAGAACAGGAAGGTCAATTTCTCATCTAAGTAGATCGAGTAATCTATAGTTCTCGGGGATGTTTTGATGTTTTAGTTTAAGATAAGTCATTAAGATGCCTATAGAAATTCAAACTAGGGTTTTTGTTTCACATTTAGTGCATATACACGAGTATGGCTACTCTTTTTGATGATGATGTTTCATAGTAAACTATTCATAGTAATATGATAATGTTTCTTTCTAGAGTGGTTTTAATCACATTTTACCTAATCTCTTCCAACTTCATAAAGTAAGGCATATGCACACATGTTAGCACTTCTGTTTTGGCTACATGCATCCCTTCAAAGCTTTCTCATCTCATTTTTATAATTGAAAAGTAATGAACTCTGCTTTTTGTTGATTATGTTTGGGAATAAACAATGGGTATATGCTTCACTTTCAAAACACCAGGTTGGTCCATTATGATGGGGCATCTGCTTAAATAATTAAAAACTTTAATTGGACATGGTTAAGGCATGATAATGATTGAGAAAGTTGCATAACTTTTGATAATTGGACGGTGATCAAAGCTCAAAAAGTTAACTGAACTCTAATAGTTTGTCCAACGCAGAAGCCATCATCACATAGCTTAGGACCAAAAGAGTAGGTAGACACAAAGGTTTCAGCTGATTTCAGGAGACACAAGTCTATCAAAACGAATCAATATCATTTATATCTTGGTAAAAACTCTTGAATTTACAAACTGAATTACAAATTACAAATATAAACCAAAACGTATGTGAAGAAAACCCACAAAAAAAAGAAATTTTTTACTCATCCCTGTTGCATCAACAATGTCTTAAAACTTGTTTTCTTCATCTCTTCATCTACATTGTCCTGTTTTGAAACCCACCAAACCCTTATGCTCTTGTCAAGACTTCCACTGTAAAGCATGAACCCAGCACCAACACTATTGGGAGAAGCTTGCAAGCATTTAACCGGACCTTCATGCCCTTGTATAACTCCAAATTTACAAAGCCTGCCACTCTCTTCCCTCTTCCACAACCCAATACTCTTATCAGCAGATCCACTACACACCATCTCCCCAACCACACACATACACAAAACCGCCATCTTATGCCCTCTCATCTCAAACCCTAATCTCCACTCCTCAAAGTCTCCTCCTTTCTCACTCTTCTCCCACCCCATCACAAACCCATCTGACCCTCCTCCGTAAACCCACTTCCCCTCTCCTGAAACCACCACTGCATTCACCGAAACCTCCGCATGACCCTCCAAAGTCGTCTTCAGAACATGTGACAAAGAAGAAGAACTCTTCTCTTTCCCCCAAATCTTGATCTTCCCGTCCGCAGAAGCAGAGTACACTCTCCCATCACCAGCAACAAGACCGTTAATAGCATCATCATGCGCCTTGATAGACTCAAGACACTTTAAATCCGACAATCTCCACACTTTAAGCGTCTTATCCCACGACCCTGAGTAGATTATCCCACCGTGGACCGCAAGGCACGAGATACTATCCGCGTGTTCGATCCATAGCCTCTTATGGTTCCTCCTCGTCTGAACGTAGTTACTCTGTTTCATAAACTTCCCCAAGTAATCTTTCGTCGTGGGAAGCGTATCCACAAGCCTGAAGGCGTTCTCTGAGCTTCTCCGCGACACTTTCCAGACTCTTATCCTGCTGTCTTGATGCGCCGTGAAGACTTTGTTCCCCACGCTGACTAAAGCCTTCACTGACCCGTCTCCTTGTCCGAATTTGGAGAAGATCTTGAGATCTGGCTGTTGCCAGACGATGATGTCTTTCCCCTGAGAGGCGCTCAGCAAGAACTCGCCACAGAGGGATAAGGAGGAGACAGAGCTGAGGTGAGCGGAGAGGACGGCGAGTGGCTTGTACGCGCCGGTGGTGGGAGGAGGGAGAGTGGTGAGGAGGAAGCTTTTTGAGGAGGCGGAGGGGCTGAGAGAATCGTCGGAGGAGTCGGTTTCGTTGTTGCTTGTGGCTGTGGAGGAAGAAGAAGATGAAGACATCATCAAGACTCTTTCTTGTTGCATTGATCTTCTTCTCACAATAACATCAAGAAAACTCAAAAGACTTGTTAGGAGCGTATGAGGAAATGTTTTAGAGTATTTAAAAAAGAATGAGGAAGGTGTGCAACGGCTACATAGGATGACAGATGGCATAGCCTTCCTCTTTTTTACCTTTTTAATGATCATTTTCTCCTTTTTGTTTTTGTTGAAAAATAGAGAATGATTTTTTTTTTCATTTTTATTTCGTATTATTGGCTATCATGGAATCTTTGTAATATAATGTAACGCGAGTCTTATATAATAAACCGATTGGTCGTTGGTCTGCTGTTTGACCAGTGATAGTAGCAGTTGGTAATGTTGATAGTGTACCAATAAGGATCATATTGATTAAGGTAAAATATTGCTAACAAATGATTAGTTAAGACGAAATTCTAGTAATCTTAGTTGGTTGTAATAAGAAGACCTCGTATTTATTTAGTTGTTAGCGTTTTGTAAAATAAAATATATGAGGTGTTAATTCTCAACTAATATTTTCCAATATTTTTTTAACGCTGAATTGTATTATTAATCCATTTAGGCAAATGATTCTTAACAATAAAAACGAGCAAAACAAACATAGAAAACAGGTACGCCGATAAGGATCCAAAGTAAACTAACACATCTTTCCGTATGGATAACTAAAAATTTTCAAGTAAAAGCTTCAAATCTACTTTTAGAATAGTTAAATCCCATAAGAGATAATCTTCGTTTTAATCCAGAAACACCACGCTGCAGACTTAGTTGACAACGATTGCTACTCTTTTTATTACTCCAGTAGGAGCCAATGAAAGAAGACAACTCTTTATATTGTTCTGATAATAACATAGTCAAAGAGATTACTGTTCCATGAAATATCTGCTAACTTTCAAAGTAACCATAGTTTGCAGCAAGAATTCCATCACCACCAAGTGAAGAATCATCAACGCTTGAAGCCGGTAAGACCCGTCGCCACCATCCGCAATAGATCTGTCAATTACCTTTTCTAAAAGATTCAATTGAACCGAAGTTTTTGTTTTTCCAAATCCATTAGAAGAATAATACAAAAGAACAATCCAAAACTTTATCAAATTCAAAATAAATTGGCAAACAAACAAATCAAATACCATAAAGAAAGCAAATCAAAAAGATAAAACCAAAGCAAATTAAACAAGCCGATGTCGGAGCTATAGAAACATCCGGTCGGCTTGAAACTAAAAAAAAAAGCTCTCGTATTTCCAAATACTGTTTAGTATGAGCTTAATTTTTGTTTATAAATTGAAAGTGTGATAAATGGATCTATTCATATCAAGTTTATGGTTATTTGTATTGTCCTTTTTCTGTTTGGATTTTGCCCTTATTTGTATTTGTAACAGTAATGGTTTAATTATTGGTGAGAGAAGACAAATAATTTGTAAGGGAGCTCTGCCTACAGCTATCTAATGCAGAAATCAAGATATCGGCTGTAAAATTAAACATAAGCTAATGTGATGAATTGCAACATTTTGTTAGCATTAATAGAAAATGGCTGAAAAGTAAAGATGTGGAGGAAGTAAATGAGAAGTTCACATGAGACTGATTGTGAATCATATCTTATCTGACCAGAATAAACATTCCCTTGTTCTTTCTTGATTTGTTGAGTTTGTCTCTATTTGGCAACTACTATCTAAATCAAGTATCTAGATACAAAAAATGGCAATATGTCTGACTCTTTTTTTGACATCGGCAATGTCTGCCTCACATCCATTTACTTACACCCCATCGATCTTAATCTTCCTCTTTAGTCACCCTACAACCAACATAGTGAATAGTGAGAGAAGTCTTTAGGGAGTTATTTAATAATCACCTAGTCACATATCTTGACCACAATCAGGGGACCCAAGAATAACTAAGTCTGGGGTCAAAAATTATTTCAGGTGTCACTAGTGGGTTCGAACCATGGTTTTTGGGGGTCAATCAACATACTTTACTAATTTTGATATTGAGTTTTGGACAATATCCTATAGAAAAACAACATTTTACCATATTTTTGTGATGTCAAATGACCTTAGTAGCTATAGTGTGGGTTCGTCCATGACCACAGTAATTTAATATAAACACATATATATATATATATATTTTTTTTTTGTAACATATATATATATATATAAAAGAAGATTCTCACAATGTTTATGATTTAAGTCTCACACTAGGTGATTTTCCCGTGCTCATGCACGGGTATGAATATTCATAAAAGTAAATTTTTATAATAATTGACTGATATTTAATTTTAGTTTTGAATAAACATATGCATAATTTATACTAATAAATATTATATTATTTTAATTATACATATGACTTTTGGATATATTATTGTAGGTTTAATTAATTTTTGGATCAATAGTCGATTTGGTTATCAATTTGGTATATTGGATAATATCTATTTTTGAATTCAGCTATAATAAAATTTTGATTAATTTTCTTATTTTCATTTCGGTTGGTTATTGTCTTAGATATGTATTTATTTTTAGATATGTAAATATATTATAGTTAAATTATGTATAACTTAATATATATTATGCTTAAATTGAAATAAATAATAAGCTGAAGTGTTTGATTCAAAATTAAATAAATGAATATAATGATAATATTTTGAAGTCTCATGCATATATATAAATTGTACAAAAGAATTAAATTGTAATTGGTTAATATTTTCTTTTTCTTTTTAATATGCTTTGAGTCAACCTCTAATTTATATGTATAAAATTAAATAGATTATTATTATTATTATTATTATAAATTATATGTTCTTATTGTAGTTAGATGTTTAATTTTGGATATAAATTAGATTAGTCGAGTCATTGATTTTGTGAGTATATTGAGTTAAATATATTTTTAAATTTAAAATTGAAGTATAATTACTTTTAATTTTAGTTAAGTCAAATCAAATTAGTTTTATTTATCGCTTAAATATACATGTATTTTTATAATATTTATTAACTCTTTATTTTAGTTAAGTCAAATCAAATTAGTTTTATTTATCGCTTATATATACATGTATTTTCATAATATTTATCAAATTATGTGTTGACTTCTAAGTAATATTAGAAAATAAAGTGTAACTGATAAATTTTTGAATGTTCATGAACAGATATAATTTTATTATTTTGAAAATATATTTTATGTTATTTAAAAATATATATTAATGGAGATATTATTATTTTGTGAACTTTCCTTTTAAATAAAGTCTTATTATATACATATATTTTCTTTTTTAAATTTGTTTTAAAATTTTAGAAATATTTTCTTTTTATCATATATGTTATTTGGAAAAAGTTAAAAAGGAAACTAAATAAAAAATAAAAATCTTAAAATCTACCAACTCATTAAGGGTAACTATGTAATCAACCGTCGTGAGAGTTAACGTGAGCGCGACACATAAGAAAGTGACTTCTCAAATAATATTATACTAGGGTATACCCGCCCTACGGGCGGGCGGGCGAATAAATAAATTTATTTAAAATATTTAACTTAGTTTTAACTATTTGTTTTAGTATTCATTTGAGTGATTATATACTTGTCTAATTATAATAAATTTTTAAAAATATAATTATTTTCTTTCTCTTAATATTTATTTTAGTTTAATTATACCAGTAAATCACATATTTTTCTGAATTATATAAATAAATTATGTGTAGATTCCAAGTTAAACTTTATCTTATTTTAACATATTTTGGAACAATCCTTTATATAATTTTGATCAAGACTTTTAGTGTTTATAGTATGTTTTGTATATTTTTTTATCATATTTTTTCAAATCAGATTTTTCTTGCAGACTCGGCAATGTTATAATTCTTAGAACCGGTAGTCTTGTGGGAAGATTTGATTAATTTGTCCAAAATAACTTTAGGGTACCTATGTAATTGTCTTTGTCTCGAGGCATGATTCGTGATGAGTCCGATTTGATAGATAACTCAACTCTTAGAGAGCCATGGACGGTCCAATCCAATAAGTGTGTTGGTGGGAACATATGCTTCTGCAAGCAATTAGAGATTTTTGTTACCACAGCCTGTTAGTATTTAAATGTATGACTAACTTGGTTCGTGATATTTGTACATGGTTATGTGAACAGTCTTCCTCTCCATCGCTTTTTAATGGTTGGATGTAAGCTAGGGAGAACAATAAAAATGTTTGAGTTATAAGATGGGAAAATAGATTTACAGAAGACACAATACACTATAATGTACATTGTACGACCTGATGCTCAGTAAATATTTATGATTACACAATTCCAATGACTAACCTCCTGAGGATATCGGCGCCGGTTTTGATGATCGTGTAGGAGCATCCGATTCTGTCGAGATAACCGTGCGGCATTTTCTGTATGAGTAACAGATTGTCAATGAGGATAAGATAAGTGCTGGTACAGAGTTTAGAAAATGGTTGATAATATGTTATTTAAAGTTAGATTAGGTGTACAAACCTGAGATGGAGTCATCAGCAACATTGGTAGCGTTAGGTGTGTCAGTTCTTAAGACCAGACGACTAATATTGTTTGTACTCGTCTCCACAGTGTCAGTTCTAGGCTTCTAGCTCTTTTTAGGTGTTTTTTCAGTTTTTTTTTTTTGCGATTATTTCATATAGATTGATATTATAGAGAATTGTCGAAAGATATAGGGAATTAGCATAGACTAAAATTAATTAACTCAACGGTTACATACAAATTCTTAGAAAATGTGAAAAGACATTAACTTATTTCTCACGCAACTGATGTTATGTTCATTAATCCATACAATTTAAAGTATCTGCAGGTAACAATGTCTGTAAGATAACATCAGACAGGATCAATATATTTGATTTAGATGGAGATGGTAGTAAACTATCACTCAAAGACGTTTTCTTATTGTCTGATTCTAGATTAAGGGCAAGTCGGTCCTACGAAGAAGATGGTGAAACAGTTGTTTCCTAAAGACAATAAGCTGTATCAATCGTCGCCCGTCTTAATATATACCGAGTTAGATATACATCAA